TATTTGTTCCCTAATGCAACACTTAATGTTCAACTAATGCAACACCTAATGCAACATTGTTCCCTAATGCAACACTTGCAGCTGAATTTTCAACTACTACCTAACTTCCAAAGCATTAAACCAACATTAACATTCAACAAAGCTAATACCCTATCAAAATGCACACCCCTATTTTCAAACCCATGGGCATGCATGAATGGCAAATAGCCACATCTACAGAACTGGTAAATCTACTCAAATGTTTTGGAATATTTCCTCATCAAAATGAGCAGTTGCCTGATCTAAGTGAGCCATCTGGTGGTGTGTATTCTTATTTATATTCTCTTTTCTTCTTTTCAAAAATAAGCTAAATGGGTAGACACATTTCTAAACGGGTATGCATCTAGTAAATAGAATGCCACAACCACCACTTTAGTCACAATTGCCTACACATTTGTCCACTGTAGTTTCAGACTCAAACACTTTGGACATGCAATAATTCCACACAGAAAATGTACTAAGCTCAACTTGACACCTGAATGTCTTGTGAGATCTTACACTGTGCTTACACCAAGCAACTCCACAAACTGCACAGATAGAAATTTGGTTTATAAAACCATTTTTGAGGTAGGAAAAACTAGCACTCACTATCCATATGACAGTATCAGAGAAATTTTGGATGGAGCAAAATAGTCTCATAAAAGATGCCAGCTCAGTGAATAAAAATGCCCTGGCGCGACACCTGAAAAAATGATAATGATGGCACCAGGCATTCCTCAAAGTGGGGGGGGGGGGCACTACTGAGAAGGCCTGTTCTCTTGTGCTTGCCCTCCACACCTTCCTTGGGTGTGCAGAAGGGTTTCTGCATAAGATCGCAGGCTATGGGGAGATTTGGGTTAGCTAAACTATTTCAGGCAAAAGACTATACTGAGCCATAACCAACCCTCCAAAAGCCCCATGGCAAAAAGAAAGAAAGAAAAGAAAGCCTGGCCGAAGTGAAAAAATTAGCATGAAGCAGAAAATGAATACCATTTTAATTAAATGCTGAATGCATACATTAATTTACGCCCTCAGTTCACCCTCTTCCTTCATTGGTCCGTTAATGATTAGTCCATTAGCCCCCTTCAAACTTTATTTTTACCCAAGTCGCTCTATTCCCATCCTTAATCCTTCCAAAATCATTCCATTTGTATTTTATTTATTTTTTAGCTGATTATTTTAATTATTCTGTATCCCATCCAAAGTCAGCTGGTCCATCCTTTAATCCCCTGCCTCAAGACTCCATTAAGTGAATTAGGGAGCTCCCCCCCCGCCCCGCTGCTCCAGTGCAGCAAAGATTTGCTGAGCAGTAGGGCCATCAGCCACATCCGCAGCTGGGCTGACTAAGGAGGGAGGCAGGATGATCACTGCATGAGCCTGGAGCTGATGCAGCAATTGAACTCAAAGCTGTCGCATAACAAGATCAGAAGCAGTCCAGCCCAGAGCCCAAGAAGCCCCACTGTGGAGTGTTCTATTAACTGCTGCTGGCAGGGATCTCACTAGCAGGACTGAAAGTCAACCCCACTCCCAGCCAGGTGCAAAGGGGCAGAGAAGGAGGACTGTTCTGCCTGATCCAGACTAAATTAGTTGAACTTAGTTCCCACCATCAAGGGGACTAAAGCCGTACTAACAGTGCAGGCCCATATATGTCTACTTGAATATCCCACTGGGATGGATGGGTTGACTCCCAAGCAAGTGGATACAGAATTTCAACCTAAAGATGGAATCCCATGCTCACTTACTTTGGAGAAACCCCCACTGAATGCAGTGGGAATTTCTTCAGATTACACGTGTAAAGGACCTAAAAGAACACTCCTTCGGGAGCAGTGAGACTAAGGGCTGATCTTCTTCTTGCCCCCACTTGGACCCATGCCTAGAAAGTGTGAGCCAAGCTGAAAACCACTTGGACCCGTAATTTTTGGCATGACACAAGCAAAAGTGTGAATGAGCCTTAAATTCCAATAGTACATTTTAAAGTGAGGTATAACCCTGAGGTCTTTTTATAACAACCATCTGCGTTATTAGACAGGTAAAACACTTGTCTGCTAATATGAACTTTACCCAATTGCTTGACTAACAAAATGCAAGGTTTTGTACTGCACGTCCCAATGGAATGTTTTTCTCCAATTTACAGCACAATCCTATACATGTCTTCTCAGAAGTACCCATCGATTTCAATGGGATTTCAATTTGCTACTCAGCCTTAAAATACCAAGCAGAAAAAGAAAACTGCCTCTTAAGTGTGTCTACATTCCTAAAATTATTCATCAGATACTATACAAACAGTGTGACAGTGTTAAACAAACTGTTGTAATAAAATACTGAGTCCATAGAACAAAATGTTAATGCTTCCACTAACTTCAGTTCAGCATCTATTGCAGCAAACACTATTAGAAAGTAATCTTTGATAGCAGAGTGCCACCTGGTGGAGAAACTGATAGCTTTTTAATGTCAAAAAGTTTAAGGTGGTCTGTATCTTTCACACCAGCCTCCAACACACACACACACACACGTGCTTACGTGCACGTGCGCACAGACACACAAGTAGTGTTGAAGTTATACAAGATAGCATTAAAACTGTGTTGTCACCTATGTAAATTAAGCTTAACCAGTGGAGGGGTGTATTTGCATACAGAAGGGCTTAAATTACCATTTCAACTTAAAAATACTTGCAGCTGCAGCTAAGTGGTTACAATAGCAATCTAATAATTCTAAAAGTATAGGTAATGTTGTCTTTTACATGATGTAATTCATTGTTCTACTTTAACAGAAGGAAGTACATTTCTTAGAATAATACTTCCTTAGAATATAAACTTGAAGACACTTGTTTCCAAGTAAGTATGATTAAGACAGCAACCAAAGGCTTCAATATATACTTGTTTGGGCATAAATCTTATCAAACTTACAAGGACTTCCTTCCAGGTAAAAGAGTCACAACATTTTAAATGATGTAATGCACAGAAAGCATATGGACAACCAACAGCCGGTTTTATTGAAAGCACAATGCTCATTTTGAAATAAACTTGCTGTTTCACTTTCCCAATATATACTAGGGGATTCCAGAGGGGATTTTCCACATACACCCATTGTACCAGTGTCTTCCATTTGGAAGGTCTTCTACATTTCTACCATGATTCAGGTTTATCTGGTTGTGAAATAGTTCTAGTCTAGTAATGTCCCTTGGCTCAGTGTAAATATAGTGGTGTTCTAGGGGTATGCTGAAAAAGTTATACTTGCCCCTGGAAAGGTGCCAAGGGGTGTGGATTATCTGGGTGAAAACGTAGCAGTTGGACAAAAGCTTATCTTACCATAATTAATTTGATATGTTGTAAAATACACATCTGAAACAAACCTTGAAAGTTGTATAGCTCTAACTGAAGCAGCACTGTGGTATGAATATACATATACATGTAGGTTACCATGTATCCCACATAATGAATATGCAACTCACGTGTCCTGATATACTTTGCTGAGCAAAGTCTTCCATTTGGATCTAGGGAGAAAAGCCCTTGATTTAGAATGACTGTGCTGAAATGTCATTGTGCAAAGGCCAACTGAAGGAAGGAAACTCTCTGAAGTTTAACCTAATGTGTAGTGTGCATGTGATGCAATGGAGAACTTTGGATTCAGAACTATTAGCAGCTGAGCAATAACCACACTAGTTCTGTTCATTTCAGGGTTTTCCTTTTTTTAAGGGAAATTCCCTTATTCCAAATAGGATTCCTTGCAAGAAAAGGAAAAAGTTGACAGCTATGTTTCAGACATGTGCCTGATTGTTCTTTGCCCTGGGTCTTAAGAAGAGGCCTCCCTTAACTGGGGTGAGGGGTGAGGAAAGAAGCAGTCAAAATACTGGACATCTCAAGCATGTTGTATATAAATAATTAAGTGGATTAGCTGTACTTCTAGAGTTTAGCTGGGATTTCAAGATAAGTTTATTGGCTGCTGCACATACTCAAATGTGCCTGTTCAAGTGGTTTTTAAAATAATACAAACTTCCCAGAAGTACAGGTGTACAACAGACTGTAGCCATCATGAGAGCTGTGCAAGAACAGGAAGCTATAGGTAAAATCATCACTCTCACAACCATCACATTCGTGAGGATCTGTTTTAGGACATGCTGTTCTTGCCCTGTAATTGGAGACTTTTTCATCATACCCTTAGTTCTCCTTTTCCAAAGGAGCCCTGATCTGAGAGTAAGAAAATAAATTTATGAGGGTCAAATGAACAACACACACCACTGTCCATTTCAAGGAGGGGAAACAGATGATTTAGCTCTAGTGTATTTTGTTCACCTAACCCTTTGTCCTCTGGTTTGGTCAACAGTGCTGCAACAAGTGAGAGTTGTACAATAAAAAAGCTAATAAAAATGCAACATGTGATTAAACGGCGTTTTACACATCCAGCGCCCACAAATTAACCTGTTCCAAGCTGGACTGGACAGATGTTGGCTAGCGTGGGCCACTGTCACTCCGCTTTAGAAAGGATCTCACAGCAGGTGAGTGGCAGACGCCTTTGGAGAAATGATCCGTACCTTGGATCAAACAAGACGCCTGCTAGAATCTTACACCCTGCCTCGTGTGCTAAAACGACGTGTGCTCTCTCTGTCCTCCTAAAATTGCCTTGGCAAACGAGAGAGAGCGAGTGGGAAGCCCAAAGATCTGGCAGGGTCGTCGGAGATCTTCTTGGGTGGAGGAGATTCAAGGAAACCTCTGCCCTCGGCGTCCTCCTCCTCCAACTCTCCCTTCCCTGGAACACCGAGCGACCGCAGCAGGCGCCTCCTACGTGGAAAACCTGAGCTGCTGGCAGCGGCGGCGGGGAGGGGAAGGGCGCGCGGCCTCGGGGCTGCGTTGCTCGGCCAGGCGGCTTGGGCGGGGGGAGCCGCCGTGCTCGGAGCAGGTATCTCCCCCTCGGCCCCGGCCCGTCTCCCTTCCCCGCCGCCGCCGCCCTCCTCCTCCTCCTCGCGGAGGGTGTGGCGGCCGGCCAGGGCTGGAGGCAGGCGTCCAGCGCCAGCGAGGAGCTGCAGCAGCAGCAGCCACGAGTTACGCACGCAGTGAGCTCAAAGCTTGTCTACGGGGGTCCCGCCTCCTCGGGTAGGGGGAGGGGGGCTCCCCCGAGCGCATCCCATAAAGGGCAGGGCGGGCTGCCTCGGCGCTCGCATTCAAGGCGAACAGCCGAGGCGCTCGCGAAGCCGGGACCCGCCTCGCTTGCTTCCCTCAGCGGACTCCCGAGAGTTCACTTGACGAGGCGAGCCCGGCGGCGCCCCTTCCCGCCTCAAGAGTCGTCCCGAGAGGAGCGCCGGGGCTTCGAAGGTGCTGCTGAGGCGCTTGGACTGCCCGAGCCCACGCCCGCCTTCGGGGCGTCCTCGCTTGTCCCTTCTCTCCTCCGCAAGTTACCTCAGCACAGCATGGAGAGGGCGGCCGCACGCCTGGCGCTGAGCGCGCTGTTGCTCTGCCTGGCCGCTCGGGGCAGCCCGCGGCAGCCCGACGAGGAGGAGAAGGCGCTGGTGGTGCCCGTGAGGCTGGATTCCGCCGGGCGGCAGCAGCAGCGGCTCTACCGCCTGGACGCCTTTGGCGAGCGCCTCAGCTTGGAGCTGCAGCCCGACAGCAGCTTTTTGGCGCCGGACCTGACGCTGCAGTACGTGGGCAGCCGGCCCCGGAGCGAAGAGGAAGAGGCTTCCGAGCAGCCGGGCGCCTTGGCCGGCTGCTTCTACTCCGGCACGGTCAACGGCGACGCGCATTCCGCCGCCGCCCTCAGCCTGTGCGGAGGGCTCCGCGGGGCTTTCTACCTGCGCGGCGTCGAGTACCTCATTCAACCGGCCAACGCCTCCCTCCAGCAAGGAGGAGACGAGCCGCTTCGGCTGCACGTCCTGCGGCGCCGGCTGCGGAGGAGCCCCCGGCAAGACGGCGGAGCGAAGTGCGGAGTGACGGACTCCGATTTCCCCTCTACGGCTGCGGAAGGGCGGCCGCAGCTGCATGAAGGGAAGAAAGCGGCGGCTGCAGCAGGAGCAGCAGCACCGGAGCACGCGGCTCGCGCAGGTATTAACCTCCCTGCACTTGGCTGTCCTTGGCGGGGAAGCCGCTGAACTTCCAAGCCAAGGGAGTTCAGGCTCTGTGTGGAACGTCAGCGGGATGCGGCGTGGCACGCATGCGCCCGGGCGGCCGCACTTTTTTGCCCAAGCGCCCGGAGTGGTCCAAAGGCTGCAGTCGACTTCCTCCGATTGGCCACTCTAAAAAATGGGGGTGGGCGCAAAAAGAGAGAGAGAGATTTATAACAAAGCTAGCTTGTGCTTAGGAAATAAGGGTAGTTTCCAGAGTTTGCATTCCGTCGCCCTTAAGAATCCTTGCAACGATTCTATGACTGAATAAGCTCTTCAGAAATGTCCATATTTTAGATCCTGAGAGTATTTGTTTGGAGGTTCTATTGATTGCAACAGGCACCATTTCCAAGCAGTTTAAATCCTATGCAAGTGGAGTGAGTCCTGTTGGACGCAGTGGGAGTGGCTTTCCGATAAACATGCACAGGATTGCGTCGCCCACTAATGACCTACATTTATTGTCCACATGGAGGTCTTTATTTGGGACTGCTCTGGAGTAAATGTGGTGTGTGCATCCATTATTCCAGTGTTAGACATTACAGGATGCCGGGTGCCAAGTTGTGCCCACCTGTTCTAGAATATTCCCCCCAAAAGTGCTTACTATATTCCCTGCCCCTCTACCATTTAAAATTAGAAGCTTCTAAAAAGTAAATAGTCTGCAGTTCATATAAGGAGGAAAGCTGACCCTAACCTTTTAAAAAGATCGTCGTAAGGGGGTTCAAAATAAATGAAAAGGGCAGGTCCATCATAGTCTGCAAACCTCTTATTTTAGCATAACCTCATAGGAGTCAGGGGTAATACTGTGGCATTTACTAGTTTGAGGAGACCACTTTAGCAGAATATGAACTGAAATTAATGAGCACACAACCTGATCCTATGTTGCTTGGAAATAAATTCTACTGAGTTAAATGGGGTCATCCTGCCCATCAAGCATGTGTAGGAGTGCTTGTGTAGGAATGCACAATGTTCAGGCTAAGGGTTGAAATGCAATTCATTAGAGCCTGGGTTACAGTCCCAAACACAATTACTAAGTAAACTGGACTACACTGAACATACCCTAAATGCAGTGAGATTTTGTTTCCCTTCAGTTAAAACAAGGCAGAACCTTGCAATTAGCAGTGGTGCTGCAATCCTATATATATTGGCTAAGAAACAATTATCCAGCAAATTACATTGTAACTCATAAATAAACATATCTACATCAAATTACATTGATAGTACTCTTGAGTCCTAAATATGTAAATCTGTGCTCTCTGAACAATAAAACATACGCTCTATTGAAATTAGAGATTGCACTCTTATCCTAGGTTGCTCAGTTTGCAAATCCCAGAGACATAGCAGCTAATCCCAAATAAGTGTGCATAGGAATGCAGCCTTAACCTATGCAGAATTATTCAGAAATAAGTAATCTAATAACCATTGCTAGTCCCAAAATATGAATGAGAGGAGGTAGTTCAGGTATAATTTCCATCTACATCTTTATGGATCTTTATGGATGACACAGACACAGAACACTCGTTGGTTTTCTGAAGCTTGAGCACCAAGTCCAGCAGTAAATGCTTTTTGAATATACTTTCCTACCTTGTATCTTTCCTCATCTTAAATCAGTCACTCCTTTCCAAAGCTGCTTTTAGCTCCATGGGCAGGAAAGGGCAGCCCCCGTAGCTAAATGAACAACTTAAAACTGTTGCTGCTTCCACTCATTTACATGGCCTTTATGATTAGGAAATTTCCACTGCAAATTACACGGGGCAAGGGGAAGGAATGAATAGTGAATCGAGCTCACTGTATCCTCAAGTATATGCTCATGGGGGGGGGGGGAGAAGGCAGATCTTTATTGACACAAAAGTATCCCAAAATTGTGGTAATTGCTGTACAGTATGATCATTCACAACCATGCCTTTGGACACAGGTGTAGCAAAGGGGAAGTTCCAGCCCAATAAGGGCTTGTGAATGAAGACCATTTAATATGACTCATGCAGCCAATGAGAAAGTAGAGGAAAAGGCACTAGGAGTAAGACAAGGGCACAGTGTCTGGAGCATAGAAAGTGATGCAGTGAGGTCACAAGAACTGGGTCACAGTAGCAATTGGCTGCTTGGCACAAACTTTTATTCCTGCACTCTGCTTTCCACGTGGAGCCCCACAATCTTAGTCAAGGCTTTTGATTTCCAGTGCCAGCATGACATAATCCTAAGGTTTTATTACCAGAAAGGGGGGAGGGCACTTGTTCCAAGCATGCTTCCAGTCGTTTTAATCCTACAGCGAATTAATTGTATGTTCATTCCTGGTTCCATACATACCCTTTGCTTTTATTTAAGTACAAATTTTATTTTTAATAGAATTACAGCTGTTCTACATGGAAATCACACTCCAGTTTAAAACTGAGGGCTGAACGAGCAATGCAAAAAGGATAAAGCTTTTCCTCAGTTGATGTGAGCTGGGCTTCCACATACTGAAGCCTACCATTTGATCAACAAGACAATATTCTATTCTGTTTAGGAGGCTCAGCAATTGTGTCTGTCTGCAGCACACTTAACTTACAGCAGTAGGAAGGTGGGGCATCTTTCTGCCTGACTATAACAGCAGGGAGCTCAATGGAGACTTGAGGCATTACCCATTTGCAGAGGGAATATGATCCCTCGCTTCTCTACTGGCAGTAATAGGGGAACAATTTCCCTTTCTTAGAGGAATAACTCCTCCTACAGGCAGGCAAGGAATTTTGTTTCCAAACCAAGAAAGCAGCTGTCATCAGCATGAAGGTGTGCCATTTCCAAGAAAAGTGGGGAAACCCCACTCCTAGTATTATGCCAAGCACAGAAACGTGGGCACGTGTAACATGCATGGATCCATGATGAGACTTTGGACCTGATCCTGAGTCAGCCTCTTATTTCTAGACTCTGAATCTTGGCCTAGGTTGCTTGTGAAGAATGATTCACAGCAGCAAGGGAGATTTATTTTTACCTGTGATGGAAATATTGCCTGGATTGAAAAAAAAATTACAGAATTTGCTTTTAATAATAATAATATGTTGCATCTTTGCTACTTTAAACTCTGTCAGAAATGTTTACTGTTCAAGCTCTAGGTATAAAACAAGTCCTCAGTCAGCTATTTATAAGTATTTTTCTTTTCTAAAATACAGGACATAGAAGTACAAGGAAGAAAAGATTTGTGTCAAGCCATCGCTATGTGGAAACCTTGCTTGTAGCTGACCAATCTATGGCAGAGTTCCATGGGAATGGGCTGAAACATTATCTTCTGACACTCCTGTCTGTGGCTGCCAAATTGTATAAACATCCCAGCATCCGGAACTCTGTCAGTCTGGTGGTAGTGAAAATAATGGTCATCTATGATGAGCAGAAGGGGCCTGATGTGTCCTCAAATGCTGCGCTTACCTTAAAAAATTTCTGCAACTGGCAAAAGCAACACAATCCTCCTAGTGACCGGCATCCTGAGCATTATGACACTGCAATTCTTTTCACTAGACAGGTAAGGAGAAAAGAATGAAAAAGGAATGTGTTTGTTTGGCAGATTTCCCGAGTATGGTCTGGAAGTACATAGGCTAAGCTGAGGCTAAGCAGGTCTGAGCCTGGTTAGTGTTTGGATGGGTGACTAGCTGGGACCCAGTTTGGGTGCCATGATGGGGAAAGGCAGGATTTAAAAATTAAAAAAATAATAATACATTTATTTACTTATTTATCATAAGGCTTTGGAACCAATGCATCCAGAAACTTTTCATTTGATTTTTTTAGAAATATTGTTCCAAAGATCCAGTCAGTGAAGAAATATGTTAATGCACCAGTTTTACTTGCTATACTTTTTGTAATTTCACCCATTTGGAAACTACAGAAAGTAAGTAGTTCAGCATGCATACTGCTGAGAATTTGATTTGTGAGATTTGTTGGCTCCTGCTTGAACGGCAAATCCACCTGGAACTCATTCACAAGATTTTTTAGGTAAATTTCCATTGCCACACAACTGCATAAAGTAGGTGGGGAAAACTCATACATTATGGTGTGGGATAATTACCCAAACAGTTTATTTTAAAAAACCTCTATAGGAAACTTACACTATTGACTTAAAATATATTTCTTTGCAGCATGACTACCACAATTAGCATAGCAAAGTTTTGTGCAAGTCCTTCCAAGAGAGAATTATCTTTATACCTGTTGAAATTCTGAGTATTAATGCTCTTTCCAGAAGGAAAGGCAAACTGCCAAAGTAAGACTCTTCATGCCAAGGTTAAGCTCCTGACCTAATTAATAATGAAACTGGCTCTTCTTCTCCTTGTATAGGATCTCTGTGGTGCCAAGACATGTGATACACTTGGGATGGCTGATGTGGGAACAGCTTGTGATCCAAACCGCAGTTGCTCTGTCATAGAAGATGATGGCTTGCAAGCCGCTTTTACCGCCACTCATGAATTAGGTAATTGAGATTCAAGAGAGATCTGTGGCAGCCGTGATTTATTTTAAAACATACATTATGCATTTTAGTCTGCATTTAAGCTATTAAATCAGCATGATTCTCTGTTACTGTGGTCTAGTTCTCAATGAGGTGGTCAACCTTTGCCTGGGTTGTTCCTCTTCAGACTACAGGTGGGGGGGCATGCATTATTGAGTGTTCATCCGACAACAACAAAATATCAGTTTACACAGAAAACTAGATCTTAAGGAGGATAGGTCAGAACCCTTCTCTCTGATTTCCCCGCCTCCCTAGAGAAGCATTCAGTTATGCCACCCTCCACTTGTAATCTGAAGAAACAAGACCATAGGTGTGTGTAGTCTGAAGTGATACAGCCACCTTACTGAGAATCTGCATAAAGTTGGGCAGCATTTGGAGAACAATCATGAGGGGAAAGGGGCCTTTTAATTAGTGCTGTATCAAAGTGTTTTGCCAAAACCTTTCTTCTTCTTCTTCTTCTTTTTGGCATTTCAGCAAAGTGAAGGAGATGCAATGAGCTCCATCCCCAAGCTTGATCTTCAGGAGTGGGGAAGAAAACTCTTTCAAATAACATTTTGGAAGGGCAGCTTTCTTGCGATTCCAAACAAGATGGCTGAGGGTTTACTCTCTCTGCCCTCAAAATACACATGACAAAAAAAGTTTTGTCGCCATGAAAAACAGTGCCAGAACTTCTTGAGCAGTCCAATCTGAACTATTTTCAAAATTCTCCAATGCTGCATTATGCAGCCTTATTCCACAGGGCATTATTGTGGATCCATTGGCCAAATGTGAATTACCAAAGGAAGTAAGAGAGGGTCTTCTGTTCAAAGTTTACTTATACTCTGAATTGCAGCTTTTGGCTGCTTGCAACCCTGGCAGATGGCCTTGCAACCCTGACGCAAAACTTGCTCTGTTATCATTTTGTCCTTGGGACTCCTAAACTGTGACTTCTTTTCTCCAGTAGTACACATCAAAATTACATCCATGCAGATGTTTAATACTTAGTGTAATGGAATGTAATTTTAATGAGTCATAATGTAGATAGCAGATTTTATGATGCTACCTTTTTTTTCCAGGCCATGTGTTCAGTATGCCCCATGACGATGCAAAGCAATGTGCTGGTATTAATGGTGTAAGCAGGGATTCCCATATGATGGCATCTATGCTTTCCAACTTGGATCGAAGCCAGCCGTGGTCTCCGTGCAGTGCTTATATGATTACTACGTTTTTGGATAATGGCCATGGTAAGTCGTGGTTTCAATTTATCTCTGTAATGCTAGGGTTCATATACTGCTTACATTTAACGCTTTAATTTCCAGCTTACTGAAACAATTCTGCACTTCGTTATGCTGCTTTCTAATATAAGTCTGCTGTTACTTGCCCTTTAGACCACTTTTACACATCTGGGAAATTATTTAAAAGATGGTCTTTCCCACAGAAGTGGCATCATTCCAGAAGGGGTGGGTGTTGACTGCATGAGAAAACCCCACACAGTTGGCTCATTCAGCCATGTGGGTGGGTTATCTAAGCCAAACAGGAAACGCTTGTGTGTAAGTGACATCCATACTGTTGTGACAATGTCAAGAACATATTTTACTTGCTCTTCAGCTGTATCAGACAGCTATTGGTCATAGTAACACAAATGCAGTCCCCAGCATGCTCGTGTCCAGCATGCTCCTGAGTATTAGGGAGAGAGGGCAAATAGAGAAGGACTGGTGCTTTTGAAACCTCAGCACACATTTCCTAGAGGCCTCTGCTTGGTTGTTACTGGAAACAGAATGCTATACTAGCCAGATCATAGGGGTGATCTGAAGTTCAACGGCAACTTCCATTTTATGGTTGAAAATATGTTGTCAAATATTGACAGATTCACTTCAATGGTCTAAAACATTCCTTTCTGCAGGCAAAATGTGCCCATCTTTGCACACTACAAATGCTATAAAAATGACTTTGCAAAGATGGGCACATTTTGCCTGCAGAAAGGTCCAGGCTCAATCGCCAGCATCTCTAGGTAGGGCAAGGAAAAGGCCATCATGTCTAAAACCCCAGTGAGCCACTGCCAGTCCATTTATACCAGGGATGGGGAACCTGCCATCCAGCATATGGTGTTGGACTCCAAATCCCATCAGCCCTAGTAAGCATGGCTGCTAAGCTGTGTGGGCCCAGTGGCCTTAAGACTGCTACCTATGTTCCTCAGTGCTTTTGAATCATTATTTTGATCACTTTCATGCAATCATTCAACAGATCTCTGTTGCACCTGCTTAGACGTATTTTCTTACAGTACATTTTGTTAAATAGATAAAATCCTAGTGAGTGCATGTCTCAGAACAGAAATCCCTCAAATCTCTTTCTGATACTATCCTATTTACAGGAAAAGCAACCCAACTTTTTAAAACAAAAGTTTCCCGTCACTCTTTTTCCCCCTTTCTCCAGGCGAGTGTTTGCTGGACAAGCCTCACAAGCCTATCCAACTCCCTTCTGATCTGCCTGGAACACAGTATGATGTGAATAGGCAGTGCCAGTTCACATTTGGAGAAGATTCCAAACACTGTCCTGATGCAGCCAGCACATGTACAACTTTGTGGTGTACTGGCATGTCTGGTGGATTGCTCGTGTGCCAAACCAAACATTTCCCTTGGGCAGACGGCACCACTTGTGGAGAGGAAAAGTGGTGCATGAATGGCAAGTGCATTGAGAAGACAGACAGGAAGCATTATGATGTAAGTATGGTTATTTTTTTTAAAAAAACCACCTGAAAATATATATCTATAATCAAGAGTGATGATGTACAGTGTAATTATTATTAGCTGCCTTGAGTCCCAGAATGGGGAAATGGTGGAATATAAATAATAATAATTAATAGTAATAATGATGATGATGATTTGATTTGCTACCTGCCCTTCACCTCAAGATCCTATGCACAACCATTTAAAATGCAGCATGAAGATATGGCTAAACAAATTAGGAATACTCTGGGCCACTCAAGTTTTTAGTTTTGATAAATCTAAATATTTTAGCTTAGTATAGTGATTCTGTGTGTGTTAACTCAGAAGTAAGGGGGCAGTCCAAACGTCCGACTGACAGCAGTATGGCCTAATGGGGCAGCATAGCCCCCACCACAGTCACGCCACTCATGCCAACTAGGCCAGGGGCAGCAGAGGAAAATGACACTCCCAGTCACTAAAAAGTGGGCATAGAGTTGCAGCCTAAAATATGTTTCTAATGGTTGATGCTTTCCCCCAAAGCATTTCACATGTGGGCTTATTTCTGTGTCTTGAAATGTAGACCCCTATTCATGGTGCCTGGGGATCATGGAGTTCCTGGGGAGAGTGTTCCAGGACATGCGGTGGTGGAGTGCAGTACTCTCTGCGAGAGTGCGACAACCCAGTTCCCAAGAACGGCGGGAAATACTGTGAGGGAAAGCGGGTGCAGTACAGGTCGTGCAACATTGAAGACTGTCCAGACAACAATGGTAAGTTACAATCAGTTGTTTTTTTCAAATAGAAAAGAAATGTAGTTGTGATATCTTCAAAATGCCTAATAAATGTATTTTCTGTACACAGGCAAAACCTTCAGGGAGGAACAGTGTGAGACTCACAATGACATTTCCAAGTCTCCTTTTGGAACTGGGCCTGTAGTGGAATGGACACCCAAGTTTGCTGGAGTCACTCCCAAAGACAGATGCAAGCTTACTTGCCTTGCAAAAGGCACTGGCTATTTCTTTGTCCTTCAGCCTAAGGTGGGTGTGGGTGTCAGTGTCGGTGCATATTACTTATAGGCAAAGTTTTATATGTGCCATTAAATTTTATTGATCCTAACAATTGCTTAAAGAGGCACACCCTAATATGGAAACTAACACTTTATTCAAATAGCTTCACTCCCCTTGCTTCACTGCAGTCCAATCTTCCCACTGCAAACCAATTTGCGTGCATAGTCATTCTGTTTCTATATCTTATTTTTAAAATACCTTTGAAAATATTTTACATGGTATCTGAATTTATTCATTTTCTAAGATCCAGCAGGTTCCTTCATTCTCCCTCTACGCCATAGCAATGCCTAATTACTAAACATCTAACTTCTAAAAAGTAATAAAATGCTTTTTATTCGATTTAGTTTCAATTTTGGAGCTATTAGTCAGAAAAACTCATCCCTCAAAGCTTAAAGTAAGGTATAGTCGTATTCTTCATAATGAAATATTATTTGGCTATATCCTGACTTCCTGATCCTTGAAGAAATTAATTAGGCTCCTGCTGACACAAGTGCTGGAAGATCAAAGTCTGTTTGTTGCTGTTACAGAATATAAATTTATAACTTTTGATATAGAGAGACAGGCAAGGAGCAGTGAGCTGTCTTTGTGATGCTATGCATGAGCAACTGCCCAAGAAAGAACTTAGTGTTGTCGGTTCTGAACACCAATGTGAGAGATTTGGGGAGGCTTAAATTCTGAGAGGGAAGAGGAGACTGTACTCTGCCACATTCCCTACCAACCCCCCAAAATCCTCACAGATGCTTAGCTTACAGAGCTGGACTTCTGTTCAGTTTTATACCAACACAGTTCCTAATGATCACAAACTATGCGCACAACCTCCAAGTGCTGGATATAGAAATCCAGGAAGCAGTTAGGCAGTACCTTTCTATGCATGTAGTCCAGAATCCAGCCAGTCATGTGTTTATGGAAACCCACTTCTACACATGCAGCACACTCACTGAACAAGGACAATAAAATTATAGTTTTATTATGACTCCCACTATTGATTTTCAGTGGGGACCACTGAATATCTCCTCCGTTGAAACTATTGTGATTAAAAAGTGTTTAACTCTGGATGGATTGTACCTGGTGCCAAAAATGTTTAGTGTTAGTACGAACACATGTGTGCCCTTCTAATCATGGCTTCTTTGCTTTCTTTAAAGGTGGTGGATGGAACCTTGTGTAGCCCAGAGTCCACTTCAGTCTGTGTCCAGGGGCAATGTGTAAAAGCTGGCTGTGATCGCATCATAGGCTCCAGTAAGAAGTTTGATAAATGTGGCGTCTGTGGAGGAAATGGATCTACTTGCAAGAAAGTGTCTGGAACACTTTCTAGTTCCAGGTATGTGGGGTTTTATCCTTAACTGTTCCTAATAGCTTACAGATATGTCTTATCCACTAGGATTGTAGAGCAGTTGTATTGTTCAGCTGAGGGACCAAACTTTCATCTTTTAAAATTGAAAGCTTACTTAAAGCTTGCATTAATGTACAGGACCAAACTTTCATCTTTTAAAATTGAAAGCTTACTTAAAGCTTGCATTAATGTACAGGAATTTTAACTTTTGAAGCTGCAAAGATCTAGCCAATCATAAGTTTCTGTACTTAATGTGATCCTTGAGTAAATAAGGATATACTGGAGACTCAACTGCTGTCCTCTTTTTCTTACCTCTAGACCTGGTTATCATGATGTTGTTGTGATCCCTGCTGGGGCAACGAACATAGAAGTTAAACAACGGAATCACAGAGGTATCAGGCAGGACGGCAGCTTCCTTGCTATTAAAGCTGCAGATGGCACCTACATTCTCAATGGTGACTATACACTATCAACTGTGGAGCAAGACATCACCCATAAAGGCAGTGTGTTGACATACAGCGGCTCCTCAGCTCCTCTGGAAAGAATCCGCAGCTTCAGCCCACTGAAGGAACCTTTAACAATACAGGTCCTTACCGTGGGTGATTCGTTTCGACTTAAGATCAAATACAGCTATTTTGTGAAGAAAGCGGGTTCCGAGAAACCTCCCAGCAAAAAGACTGATTCTTTCAATGCAATTCAGGAGACGATCTTATCTGAATGGATTTTTGAAGAATGGGGAGAATGTTCTAAGTCCTGTGGTACTGGTTGGCAGAGGAGATCTGTAGAGTGCAGAGACCTTAATGGACAGCCTGCCACAGACTGTGCAAAAGAACTCAAGCCAAGCGATGTCCGGCCGTGTGCAGACACACCATGCCCACAGTGGCAGCTGGGAGACTGGTCACCATGCTCTAAGACATGTGGGAAAGGCTTCAAGAAGAGATTGTTAAGATGCATGTCCTTTGATGGTGCCACATTGTCCAACGAAAGCTGTGACATTTCAAAGAAACCTAAGCATTTAATAGACTTCTGTAATGTTACAAACTGCAGCTAAACCGTAACAGGTTGGGGAAGCTAAAGTTGGTTGTTTTCTTTTCCCCTTCAGACCAAAGCACTGAAAATGAACTATTGAGAGGTAGCAATTGTAATTCGCATGGAAAATTCACAGGGAATCCACTGAGATGGAACAGTGCAAATAACGTTAAATAGTATACTGAAATGTAAAACAAAAAACCACGTCAACTGAAAATCTGATAAAAACCAATCTTAGTTGCTAGCTGTTTCATCTTCAGCAGGTAAAAGTCCTGAGGCATTACAATTTCCTCTTTTAAGTCTGTTACAAATTAAACAAAACATAGGCAGTGGCCAAAGAAGTTTAAACAAACATTTCAATGTTTTAGTGAGAGTTGGGTTTTTTGTTAAAACTTATTGAGTTTGTTTTGTGGTACTGATAAAATCCCTCTCTTAATCAAAGTTGGAGAGGGAGGACCATTTTCCTCTAAGCTTAATTATTGGTCAGCTCTTGCCTACCTCACAAAAGCAAAAAAACGTAACAGTATTTTTTGGGGGGGGAAACTATATTGTTCATGGCTGCTATCAGTAGTTTTATATAACAGTAGAGTGATATTTTCCACCAGGAAGCAAACAATTACAATGATGTTTGCTTGTAAAATCTGATAACTAGAATGTAGTGCTCTTAAAACCTTTTGATTTAATTAGATCCTTTTTCTTCATTGTAGCTGGTATGCTCAACCTGCAGAGTTAGAATGGTAGCAGTTCGAGAACCGCACACTGTTCTCACTGCCCTGGATTGATCGCTCCCTTATGTGTGTGTGTCTGTTCTTCATGCCCACAATTGTTCCACAGGACTCCAACAAAACCCAAATTTAGCTTTGGAGCATATGCATGTGCCTGATTCCACCATGAAAACATATTCCTAAATTGTTACCATTTGAGTTATCTAACAGCCACCATTTTGTTCAGATACAGCTCTCCACCTCGTCGAAAGTAATATTCTTATGTTTTCTGCAAAGAGTTAATGGAATTTTATGGATAGAAAATTGCTTAATACATGGCACCCCATAAATTTGCATTGTTTGAATCACTTGTACGGCAGGGAAGATTGCTGCGGGATAGCAGGTCCATCCACAGCAGTATGCCAGTCCCTGCATATTTAAAAAGGATGTGCTAGTTCATAGACTATGAGAGAATATGGCTCTCCATATGTATATAGTAAAATATATTGCTATAGAGGATGCGTACTTTATAAGTATTTATATTCTTTCCCTTCTGAGAAGGGTTATAATTGGTAATAAAATGCATATAATGAACCTATTTATTTTTATATTTCTTGGCTAATATGATCTCCTAAGTTATCACTTTTTTAAAAAAAGAAAAAGACATATAACAAGGATAGAGTATTTATGCAATATAATATGATACTAGAGATAATAAACACTATGAATTTTGGAAACTGTGTGAGGGTTTTTATTTCACTGATGTTCACATTACTGTGTTCAAAAGAATAGCTGTTGTGAAGGTCAATGAAGGACATTGAAAGACACAATCCAGCTTAGCGCATGCATTATGTTCTATGCAGATACCAGCCCTCCAGCGCCCTTAACATGCATGCTCCACTTCACCTGGTTTGCAGCTGGGAGTGGAAGAGCTACGATTCCTGTCACATTCCCACCTTAGCTCTTACCTGGATGTAGAGATACACAAGCTTAGCTCAACACAGTCCTAATTGCATTTATGCTCCTTTTGTTGGATATAGGTGTTAGGCCTGGTTCATACATGGAAACAGTGATGCTTTAACCACCTGAAATGCCACTGCGTGCAACAAGATTATTCAGGTAAGGCAGCTTGGGACATGAATCCATCTGCTTTCACTGCACCACTGCAATCTGAAAGTCTTGCTGTAGAATAGTGAAAACCATTGCATCTGCATGAACTACTTCGTTGGAATGACTTCCTGTAAAATGCTGCCTCTGCACAGTTGCATTTCCATCTGCCATTGTGCTGCTGTTCAAAAATAGCAGCTGCAAGCAGACTTCCCTGATAGATGTTTCTGTGGGAACAAAGATCAATGTTTTCCCCCTCACACACTGCAAGAGAATTGGTTTACAAAATTAAAAGATCAATTCATATTACAATTATTTCACCTTTGTGTTCTTTGTCTCACACATTCAATATGCACATACAAAAAACACACGGGGGGGGGTATTTGTGCAAACTTCAGAGAATGTGTTCGTTGTGAGGTTTGGTTTACATAGCTCTTGTAGAAACAGATTTAATAACAGATTTGACCCAGGCTTCTAGTTGATAAACAATGATTCATCCAAACTGGCTTACATCTGCCAATGGTATTAAAGAAAGGGGGGGATAGCAAATTCTAGGCTTTAGGAGCCATAAAGATGAGAGCATTGTAGTACATAAGAAATGTCAGAAATCCTTTTTGTGTACTTCCCATTTAAGTAAATGAGAGCTGTGCTAGAGCACAGCAGTTTTAATATTTACACAAGAGAATTTCCCACTGGGTTGTGTTAATTGGACCGCTGTGCCAACTATGCTACCCAGTGTGGGGTGTTTTGCCCTTTCCTTCCTGCCATCTCCATCCCAGCTAAAAACACTTAAGAGTCTTTTGTCAGGGGGAAATCGTTGTACTTGTAAATGTACTTACCAGCACATACCCTGTACTTCATAACCTGATCTTGCTTTTGTACAAGCTGGTCAAAATGTTCAGTGCAAGTGTCTTTCAAATGAGTATATTTAAGATTACAATGAGAACGGGAGCGGGACACAGACACTTTCTTGCACATAATAGTGCAAATGTGATTGTGTGCCCCCCTCCTGTGGAAAAACAATATGCTTAATTTTTCATAGGTAATCAGTTTTCGGTGATCCTGAACATGCCGGCTCCTCAATCCTAAACATATTTACTTGGAACTTATTTCCATAATATCAGTGGGATTTAATTCCAAATGCGTTAGTGCATAGCAATGTGTCAGGAATGCAGGGTCTCAGGGTCAAATGCCCAGCTCTTGGGACTCTCCCCCAGTTTCACACCCTCCTCAAGTGCTTTTGTGTCAATGAAATGTGATAATGCTTCTTGGCTGCGTGAACAGGGGACTGTTGAATGTGTGTGTAGCAGAGGTGCCAACGCCTGGGACCCCAACTCTTTTGGGTCCTCCCGATGTTCAGAATATCAGGGCCAACTACAACGTGGCTTCAGTGGCTGGTTTCTCCTCCTGCTGCTGCTGCTGCGGAGGGGAAGGAGGGGGAAGCAGCCCCCTGGCCAGTAGTGGCAGCAGGAGGGGCTACTGGTCATTGAAGCCGCACTGCTGCCGTGTTTGGCTCTGCCCCCTGGTTCCTCTGACATCCTGACATGATGTTGGGACATCACATGCATGATGTCACACACAACGTGTCCCCACTTCCCCCAGTGCCTCTGGTGTGTAGATTCATTTGGCTTTTACATGACTGGATTGTAATCTACTATACAGTCATAAGGTAAAGGTAAAGGGACCCCTGACCATTAGGTCCAGTTGTGGCCGACTCTGGGGTTGCGGCGCTCATCTCGCTTTATTGGCCGAGGGAGCTGGCGTACAGCATGTGGCCAGCATGACTAAGCCGCTTCTGGCGAACCAGAGCAGCGCACGGAAACGCCGTTTACCTTCCCGCCGGAGCAGTACCTATTTATCTACTTGCACTTTGACGTGCTTTCGAACTGCTAGGTTGGCAGGAGCAGGGACTGAACAATGGGAGCTCACCCCATTGCGGGGATTCAAACCGCCAGCCTTCTGATCGGCAAGTCCTAGGCTCTGTGGTTTAACCCACAGCGCCACCCGCGTCCCACTATACAGTCATACCTTGGGTTAAATATGCTTCAGGTTGAGTGTTTTCAGGTTGCGTTCCGAGGCAACCCAGAAGTAATGGAACAGGTTACTTCTGGGTTTCATCGCTCGCGCATGCGTAGACACTCAAAATGATATCACGTGCATGCGCAGAAGTGGCGAATTGCAACCCACAGACACGCAGACACGGGTTGTATTCTGCTCAGGATGCAAACGGGGCTCCGGAATGGATCCTGTTCGCATCCAGAGGTACCACTGTATAGAGGCTGGAGTCGGATCCATTGCTCTGCCCACATGGGGGAATGCACCCCTCAGTCTGAAAAGGGTCACTCACTTTCTGCTCTTAGGTGATGGCAATAGTTCTGTGTGATTGAATGCAGAAAAACAAAGAATTGGTTCCTACGTTGATCCCAGACGCTGGCAATGTACTGCCTTGATTGGAAGAGTAAGCAGGCACGCTGCCACCTGACAACCTCAATAAATGTACGCAGGAAGTTCATAAGGGATCTTGCACTTCACTTGAGTGCTCTTACAACACGAGCACCCCCCTCACTTCCACATGCCAAAAACACACTAGGATAGTGTAGGGCACTCAGCAAACTAGGAAATATTGTTGCTATGAGGCCAGTTTGCATAAAATCCTCCTGGACTGTTCAGGAGATAGCAGAAGTTTTGCATTGCAATATTTATGAGATTTTTTTTTAATGATAATATATGTAAACATGTTGTATTTTGATGTATTTTGCTGTCTATGGATGCTTTGATTGTTTCCTTCCTTAGGGAAGTGAGCAATACTCTGCATTAAGACACAAGAGGGACCTTTACAGCTGCTCTCTACACAGGTTTCCTCTCAGGCTTTTAATGCACAGTTTTATTTATTTGTAATAAGAATCAGCATAATACTTTGTGTCAGCAGGAAGGAACATTCTTGCAGTATTGTTTGCCCATAACTCCAGCTGAGCCTCATCCAAGAAAAGATTCTCAGTCACTACTTGGCAAGAAAGAAGGTAGGCACGAAAAAACCTACATAAAATATTGTGGAATTCAAGCCTGTCAAGGTCATCCACTTTACAATTCCAAACCTGTGTCTGTGTGTGTGTGTGTGTGTGTGTGTGTGTGTGTGGTTTCTTAATGAGGCTGTATTTTGTATAGCCTGTGTCAGCAACTGGCCAGCTCTGGTGCCACATAAGGACAAGTATTAAGGTTATTGAAGTCTGCTGTTTACTCTTTCTGTGGCAGCACTTGTATTCCACTCCTTCTTAGAATAATATATCGTTTCTACTAACTGTGGGCCTGTGCCACAGACAACAGACATCGCTGCTGAATGTATTTCACCCATACACAGACCCTCCAAGTGTCCCTGTTTTTCAGGGACAACCCCGGATTTACAAAAGCCATCCTGGTTTCTGAATTGATCCTGGAATGTCCCGCTTTTCTGTAGGATGTCCCTTTTTTTTCCAGAGAAATGTTGGAGGGTTTGGAGTTATGTGACCCCCCAAGCCAAGTACCTATACAACCTTTAGAAGACATCTGAAGGCAGCCCTATATAGTGAAGTTTTTTTTAAAAAAATAAATGTTAATGTTTTACAGTGGTACCTCGGGTTAAGAACTTTATTCATTCTGGAGGTCCGTTTTTAACCTGAAACTGTTCTTAACCTGAGGTACCACTTTAGCTAATGGGGCCTCCCGCTGCTGCCACACCGCCGCTGCACGATTTCTGTTCTCATCCTGAAGCAAAGTTCTTAACCCGAGGTACCATTTTTGGGTTAGCGGAGTCTGTAACCTGAAGCATCTGTAACCTAAAGCATCTGTAACCCGAAGTACCACTGTATTGTGTGTGTTTTTATATGTTGTAAGCCGCCCAGAGTGGCTGTGGCAACCCAATCAGATGGGCGGGGAATAAATAATAAACATGACATGCGTCCAGTATCACATCTAGATCATCCTTGTTCACACTGAAAGAAAGAAATGTAAAACTATTTGAATTAAGAACACTAGAAGACCCATGTTAGATCATGCCATACGTCTATCGAGTTCAGCATCCTTTTCATCCAGTATCCAGCTAGATACCTATGGGAAACAAGCAGGACCTGAGCACAACATCACTCTCATTCTCCCCAACAACTTGTGTTCAGAGGCATGCCTCTTCCAATACATACAGCCATCGTGACTACTAGTTAGTGATAGCCTTGTACCCTGCATAATGGCCAGTCCTGTTTTTAAGCCAGTTCGGAGAAGGGAGAGAGGCAATTGTAATATTGTCTCAGTACCTTGCATATAAGGAACGCGGGTGGCGCTGTGGGTTAAACCACAGAGCCTAGGACTTGCCAATCAGAAGGTTGGCGGTTTGAATCCCCGCGACGGGGTGAGCTCCCGTTGCTCGGTTCCTGCTCCTGCCAACCTAGCAGTTCGAAAGCACGTCAAAGTGCAAGTAGATAAATAGTTACCGCTCCAGCGGGAAGGTAAACGGCGTTTCCGTGCACTGCTCTGGTTCGCCAGAAGCGGCTTAGTCCTGCTGGCCACATGACCCAGAAGCTGTACGCCGGCTCCCTCGGCCAATAAAGCGAGATGAGTGCCGCAACCCCAGAGTCGTCCGCGACTGGACCTAATGGT